TTTCCTTATAGGTTATTACAAAATATTGAGTATAATTCCCTGTGCCATTACAGTAGGTCCTTACTGATTATCTATTTTATATATAGTAGTGTGTATATGTTAATCCCAACCTCCTAATTTATCCCTCTCCTCCCTTCTTTCCCTTTGGTAACTATAAGTGTTTTCTGTGTCTGTGGGTCTATTTCTGTTTTTTAAATAAGTTTATTTTAATCTTTTTTTTTTTTTCCAGATTCCACATATAAACAGTATCGTATGATCTTTGTCTTTCTTTGTCTGGCTTATTTCACCTTAGCATGAAAATCTCTAGGTCATCCATGTTGCTGCAAATGGCATTATTTCATTCTTTTAATAACTGAATAATATTCCATTATATATATGTACCACATCTTCTTTATCTGTTGATGGACATTCAGGTTGTTTCCGTGTCTTGGCTATTATAAACAGTGCTGCAGTGAACATTAGGGTGCATATATCTTTTCAAGTTATGTTTTTCTCTGGATATATGCCCAGGAGTGGGATTGCTGGATCATCTGGTAGTTCTATTTTTAGTTCTTAACAGAAATTCCATACTGTTCTCCATAATGGTCATACCAGTTTACATTCCCACCAACAGTATAGGAGAGTTTGCTTTTCTCTGCACTCTCTCCTGCATTTATTGTTTGTAGACTTTTTGATGATGGCCATTCTGACTGGTTTGAGGTGATACCTCATTGTAGTTTTGATTTGCATTTCTTTTGAGATGTTGAGGATCTTTTCATGTGTGTTTTGGTCATCTGTATATCTTCTTTTGAGAAATGTCTGTTTAGATCTTCTGCCCATTTTTTGATGGGTTGTCTTTTTTTAGTTTTTTTTTTGAGCTGTGTAAGTTGTTGGTATATTTTTGGAGATCAATTCCTTGTTGGTTGCTTCTTTTGCAAATATTTTCTCCCATTCTGTGGGTTGTCTTTTCATTTTATCATTTCCTTTGCTCTGCAAAAGCTTTTAAGTTTAATTAGGTCCCTTTTTGTTAATTTTCATTACTCTAGGAGATGGATCCAAAAGGATACTGCTGCAATTTATTTTAAAATGTGTTTTGCCTGTGTTTTTCCTCTAGGAATTATACAGTGTACAGTCTTATCTTTAGGTCTTTAATAACCCATTTCGAGTTTACTTTTGTGTGTGGTGTTAGAGAATGTTCTGATTTCATTCTTTTACATGTAGCTGTCCATCTTTCCCAGCACCACTTATTGAAGAGACTCTTTTCTCCATTGTGTATTCTTGCCTCCTTTGTCATAGATTAATTGTCTATGGGAGTACAATACTGCTTTAATTACTGTAGTTTGAGTATAACTTGGAATCAGGAAATACAATACCATTGCTTTGTTGTTCTTTCTCAGGTTTGTTGGCTATTTGGGGTCTTTTGTAGTTCCATATAAGTTTCAGGAGTGTTTTTTCTGTTTCTATAAAAAATGCCATTGGAATTTTGATAAGAATTGCATTTTATTATATACATAGCTTTGAGTAGTATTGACATTTTAACATAATTAATTCTTCCAATCATGAACATAGGGATATCTTTCCATTTCTTTTTTTCATTTTGACTGTGTTGCCTGGCTTGTGGGATCCCTGACCAGGGATTGAACCCATGTAGTTACTGTAATCATTGCATAGTGGGGCTATATTAGCAGAGAGAAGATACAAAGTGGGATTCCCATGTGGCTCAGTGGTGAAAGAATCCACCTGTCAATGCAGGAGACGCTGGTTTGATCACTTGAGTTGGGAAGAGCCCCTGGAGTAGGAAATGGCAACCCACTCCAGTATCCATGCCTGGTGAATCCCACGGACAAAGGAGCCTTGCAAGCTACAGTCCATGGAGCCACAGAGTCAGACATAAGTGTGTGACTGAGCATGCATGCAAGATACAAAGTGAGTGGTCCAACTACTGTTGACATCAGCTCTGTCTGCCACACTCATTGGTGAGTGTAGACTGCCCTAAGGACTAGTCTCTCAGCAGACCTACTCATGGGTGAGAATGCCCCACCTCTGATGTCCCAGGGAGCCATGGTGTAGACTCTTAAGTATGCATTAGGACATGTGTGCCCCACCTGGAACTTGTCCTCCACGTTGAGAGTGCTTATTTATGTTAATTATGGATGATTTTTTTTTTGTGTGTGTGTGTGTAATAAAGTTTTATTAAAGTATAAAGGAGATAGAGAAAGCTTCTGACATAGGCATCAGAAGGGGGCAAAAGAGTACCCTTTTTGCTAGTGTTAGCAATGGAGTTATATACTCTCCAATGAATCCAAAGAATGTTTGGAGGTTGCAAAGACCTCACCAGACCCACTCCCATATTTACATTTTAAGATAACAGAGTTGGCTAGAAGGTTTAATCCACAAATTGTCCTCAGGCAGGATACATCCTTGTAAAGACCAGACCTACTCCCATAATTTATGTTTTAAGATAACAGAATTAGCCAGAGGGTTTAATCCAAAGACTGTCCTCAGGCAGGATACATTATTGTTATATAATCCCAAGGAATGTAGAGGAAAAAAAGTAAAAAGTTTGTCCTTTCTTCCTCCTTGAATATCCCAGACCTCTTTCTCCTTGGGGACCCCTAGACTTCTTATCAACCTGCCTAGGAACTGACTCTCTCATTTCCCCCTTTCCTTTTAGGAGAATTATGTTGCCTAGGGAAAAGGGGCGTCGTTCTCATTCTATAACTGCTTCAGAGCTGACAAGGGGCGTTGTGCCTAAATTGGTGAGGCAACATATTCTCCTAATCCTCATAGTGAGGATGTCTGATCCAGGGGCTCCAAGTAATAGTTGGAGGAGGCTGTGGCACTCATAGGAGCTGGGACAACTATTTGTAAATTAAAAGCTTTTAGACGGTTAGAAAAACCCATTATACAGTGATAGATGTAAGGCAAAATAGTCATTAAACCAAGTTAAAATCAAAATGAAAAGTCACATTATGTTCATAGTTACATCAGTCCATCTTAAGGTTGTTAGATGTCATCAGTTTAAGAAGAGGCATCACATGCGATTGTTGAAGGTATTTGCAGAGTTGGAGAAAGTCCTTTCCTTGAAGTGGAGATGTCCACCAGGAGTGCTCCGCAGACCCAGCAATTAGACCGATTGTGGAATGCAGCATAGGAGTGAGCCCAGGACAGGAAGGCATTGTCTTGAGGATCAAAAGGCAGACTCAGGATTTCTGGAGTCAGCAGAAGTAGGCTCACATAGATTGTCAGGCCCATCTTGTCCTGAAGGATCCCGGATGAGCCCCCAAGATGAAAGGTTGTTGCTGAACAATGAGATGTGGGATTCTTGGCCTCCGGAGGAGATGAATTCAATCCGGAGCCAGAGACGAGGCTGGATCGCTCAGAGCTTTTGTGTAATAAAGTTTTATTAAAGTATAAAGGAGATAGAGAAAGCTTCTGACATAGGCATCAGAAGGGGGCAAAAGAGTACCCCCAATTATGGATGATTTTTAACTTAAATGGAAAGATGACATTTTTTAAAAGTCATTTGAAGAATCAAGATCATAATGTATAAAGCTAAGGATCACATGATTCATCTCAAGAACACTCTCTGAGGTTTTTTTGGTTTTAGACAAATACTTAGAAGTTGTGTCTCTGTCCTTTTGAAAGAAGTATAAAATCTGAGATAAATGTATAAAGGTAGAAAATAGAGACTTGTTGCATTCTCATCAACAGGCAGAATATGGTTTTTTTCCAGGCTTTATACTTAAAAATCCTTCATCTGATATTTAAAATGTATTTATGTTGAGTCATTTCTTTCTCTTTTGCTGGTAAACCAGAAGATCATGAAATGATTCTGCAGAGGCAGTAGCATTACGTTCAGTTTCTTTTTTTGTATATATCAGATAAGAGACTTGCAAATGGAAGTACGTCCGCCTCACATCCTTTGTGTGGTGATGGCAGTGATGTTTGCCTTTTTGTGACTGTTGCAACATTTATTAATTCATAAGCCCACTTCCAGAGAACCTAAGGGCTTTTTGGTGAAAGGTGACTATAGTAAAAACGATGTTAGATTTTGACAGGCTACTTTTGTTTTTACAGACATTTCTTTTCTTTTTCATATTTCAAAACTACTAGTATTTCAAGAGTGTTGTGGGGGGCAGAGGGCTGCCATGATCAAAGAAAGTTAATGCACATATTTGGAGTTAGGATTTGGGAAAATAAAATTTTGAAGTTCAGGTCAGCTTAAGCCTCTATATCCTCCTCTCTGAACCAGCACTTCTGGTTGGTAAAAAGCTCACAGATCTGAGAGACAAAAGCAGTTTCAGAGGTTGACTTCGGTAAACTGTAATAAGATAGAGGAGGAAAAAAGGCAGCAGTTCCAGAGATTCACCTAGTTTCCCATGGATTAAGGGACCTTGTACACCTTCTATCCCCTCTTTAACTCACTGTCATCCATTCAGCAGAGCTTCTTGTATAACCAGTTGGTATCAGGGGAAACAGTGCTTCTGTTAAACCTAAGGAAAAGTCTCATAAAAAACTGTTTTCAGAAGTTTTCACAGTATTTAAGCATTTAAGGGAATGTTTGTCTTATTATGGAGCTTCCCTGGTGACTCAGATGGTTAAGAATTTGCCTGCAGGAGACCAGGGTGTGATCTAGAGAGTGAAAGTGGAGAAGGATAAGGACCCTGGAGTGCTGGAATTATATATGCCTGACAGTTCGCAGTACTAGCCAATAGCAAGCTTTTGGTTCTGTTTATTTTTTCTAGCTTTTACTATATTCTACTTTTATTATTAATATGGGGGAAGTTATCTCGTCATGATGTTACTTACTATATATATTATTAAACATTTTGTGTATTTTTAATATATACTATTAAATATATTGGTCTTCCCTGGTGGCTCAGATGATAAACAATCTGCCCGCAATGCAGAAGACCCAGGTTCAGTCCCTGGGCTGAGAAGATCCCCTGGAGGAGGAAATGGGCAACCCACTCCAGTTAAATATTATGTTATCTTTACCAGTGGATTCTTTTTTCCAGAGCAATAATGAAATTTCACAGTATGAAAATGGAAGAAATCAACAAAATTATTCGTGACCTTTGGCGAAGTACCTATCGTGGACAAGGTAATTAACATGGTGTAACATGAATGCTCTTTCTAAAGCCCTGTGTCAAGCTCTTGCTTCATATGACCTCTCATCATGCCAGTATTGCCTTTAGACCCCTTTTTGAACATCTCTTTTAGATTTTCTAAGAATTCTTATCTTGATAATATCTTGTAGCAAGAAAAAAATGCAAAGCTTCCTATTCCAAAGCCTGATAGGACTTACAAATTTGGCTACGGTACACATTATATTTAGCTGATGACATAATAGGTTCTGTTGAAGTGCAGATAGGGATAAGCTGAAATGAGATAAGAAGAAGAAGAAAACCATTAGGAGGAAATTCTTAATAGGGGAACTAAGAAAAGGGCACAGCTGAGACCAAGGGTTGGTTGGGTATCTGGTTGCTTCTGACCAGGAATCCTCATAACCAGGGAAAAGTTTCCAAACCACCCAGTGTTTCCCCTGGGAATGGCAGCCTTGCATGTTGCTTATAATGTTCTTTGATAAGGTTTGCAAATGACAAAAGGTTGCAGAGTATAGGTTCCTAAAATCATCTTCTTTCTGTATCAGATATTGAGTACATAGAAATTAGATCAGATGCCGATGAAAATGTATCAGCTTCTGATAAAAGGAGGAATTACAACTACCGAGTGGTGATGCTAAAGGGAGACACAGCCTTGGATATGAGAGGGCGTTGCAGCGCCGGACAAAAGGCAGGTATCTTCACGAGCATAAAACCATTTGTACACAGAAAATTGACAAAGAGAAATGATTGTCAGTGCAGAGGAGGCGCCCAAGGTGCCCTTGAATGGTGGGAAGCTCCTTATGGCATCATCGCTGCCACGTGAAGTGAACCAGGCTCAGTTACTCTCCTTATACTCTCAATTCTAACCAGTATTTCCTGCAACATTATGTAAAGTAGGCTTTTAGAAGAAGGGCCTGAAACAGTCTTACAGGATAGCCTAAATGTAGAGCAAAAAGCTGAAGGCCATTCATTGTTTCATGGCATTCCTTATGAGAATAAGGTTATTTGATCATCATTTATAGACCCACACTAATTTATGTGCCACCAAGAAAAGGAAAATTCAATAGTAATTCTAAGATGCATCTTGATTTCAGAGAAGTCAAAGGATAAGGAAGGGTATGTTTTAGAATCAGTAACATACAGTATTAGCAAACCAGACCCTAGATTGAGCCAGATGAGGCATTACAGTAACTAAGAGTCTGATAGAGAAGGCAGCCTCACCATAGGACTGAGTCCCCACCGCAACTCCCAGCCTAGCCTTGGGGCCTGGGAACCATCTGAAAGCAGGGTCTACCAGAGTCAAAGGCTGTGAAACCCACAGGTGCCTCTGCCCCCCGACCTCAGGGACTCAGTGTTGGGCCAGGCCGCCTAGCTCTGCGGGGAGCTCTGGGAGGGAAGCCTAGGTTGGATATACAGAGCACAGAGGAATAACATTTCAAAAAGTTGGGAAAGTGGAACCTGCATCCTTAGGGAACAATGCTGGGTTCTTTCACTGTGCACTGGTTTGTCCCCAAAATGTTATAGATTTTTGATCTTCCTCCTTTGCAGATTAGAAGCAGAATATTATCAATATTACCTCTGGACCCCTGATTCTTAACAAAATTTTGTAGTTCTGTAAACAAATGCTCACATCATGAGTTATTCACATAAAAAGTTTGCAATTTTTTAAAGACACACTATGCATGTATTTTTGTCATCAACCCAGACAGCTGATACAAATTTATAAGGCATCTGCAGATTATTATCTTAATCAGACTACAAAAATGACAAGTTTGTGATCTATAATCAATATTCCTTGAGTTTGAAACATGTCTGTTTGGTTTAAAAATATTCTCTGAACAAAAGTGGATTTCCTGTAGCTACTATAAATTATAAAAATTAGTGCTAGTGTTTCCTTGGTGTTGAGTGACAGAGCAGACAGTGCTTTGTAGAGCTGGGCCAGGAGCTCCATTCCTACTCCACTCGGAGTGGGTGATAGTGGCAGCAGGAGAGAAGGGCCTGAAGCTGGCCCTGGCATCTTCAGTCTGCCAGCCTGCCCTGTGCATCAGAGAAAAGCTCTACACTGCTCTGAGATCACTCACTGATGCACCTTTGCTCACAAATCTGGGGGTGGAGAGGATATTACAGCTCACACAAAAAGTAGTGTATACTTCCTAAAGTAGTCCTTCTCTCTTAATTCTGTGTCCCTTGTACCCTCAGATGGCTTCAGTGGCAGTCTTAGTATTAGGTTTCTATTGACCACAAAAGTTCCTCATAGTTTTGGTTGCTTGGATTTTCTATAGTCAAGCTTAAATAAAACCATACTTCTGTACTCATACTTTTCCTCTCCCTCCCTCTCAGAATCACACACATAAACATTTAAGTTTGGGTTAGACCAATGGTGCCACTTTGGTTCTGCAGAACAGAGAGATTTAAAGATGTCTCCAAGAGAAAAGGTGTCTGTGAGGCTCTGGAAATGTATTATATCCAAGTTTTCTAACAAACATCATCAGGAAAATAGCCAGATTATGAACTTTTAAGGTTATACCTGATAAAAATCATGTTATACCACTATTAGCATTATCAGTAAAATTAGATAAGTGTTAACTGCATTTCTGATGCAGGTCTGTAATTGGAAGCTTTATTACAGCTGACGTGAGGTGTTGGTGTGGCATTTTAATGATGCACATCTGAGGTCAGTGATCCTGTGACATTGCCCCACCTTTCCCTTCGAAAGACATTGTGCCAGATCTGCCTGTTTTCCTCAGGTGAATGAAAAATGTGTGCAGTGCAGCTGAGTTCTGGCACCCTTTTTCCAGGTATTAGCCTCACTCATCATTCGCCTAGCCCTGGCTGAAACATTCTGCTTAAACTGTGGCATCCTTGCTTTGGATGAGCCAACGACAAATCTTGACCGAGAAAACATTGAATCTCTTGCACATGCTCTGGTTGAGTAAGTATCTCAAATTTGGGGCCAAGTTACGATCGTTTTTAAAGGAAGATTAAGAAATTCTGTGGTGAAAGTCCTCTGTAGCTGTGTTCTCCTTGGCGAAACTGGTTTTACCAGAGCTTAGGCTTTACCTTGATGGTAATTTTTCAGATGCTTAAAAAAAGAACTACCTGGTGAACAGATGCCCCAGACACATCTTACATCTCCCCAAGAGTGTTCACAGTGAGGGTTTCCTGGCTTGGTTTGGTTTTCCTGTAAACCCACCAGAGGGGCCCATGTGTCTTATACAGGAGTTAGCGTGCTCCACTAAGGCATTTCTAGGTGGTGACTGTGGGTTTTAAACTACCTCTCCAGGTTCTCACATGTGTCAGCATCTATGAGGAATGACAGCACTTACTCAAAAAGTATATTAGTGGTGAAGTAGAATCCAGACTGCGGACACATTTATCACAGTTCACCGGTGGGGTGGTGCAGGCTCTAGGGATAGACAGCCCTTGCTTCTGCACAGTGCCAGCAGGGGAAAGGCGGTCTCCATGAGGTAGAGAAGCTCTTCTGGGGGCTCTTCACGCCAGACAGACTCTTCCTAGCAGAGAGAACGTTTCCTGTGGTAGGAGACTTGAGTGGCCCCAGAGCCAGCTGTCTCCAGCCATCTCTCTCAGTAGTCCTGTGTGACCCACAAGTAAGGGTTGGTGCTTGTGAAACCTAAGTGCATCCAGCTTCAGGCAAGGGATAAATAAGTGGTTAGTTAAAAGAAAAAGTCTTAAGTCTCAGACTCATAACTAGTTACCTTAACATATAGATAACAAGCAAAAATGTTCTCAGTACACCCACTCAGGCCCCCTGTGTGTCATACCAGTGATGCATCTAGTGACTGGTGGTGGCAGAATTCTAAGTAGACCCAGCTCCTGAGAAGGCAGTGGGGCTCACAGTGTTATTCCCCTTGCCTGTAGTCTCTTTTTTTAAATAGTTTTCTTCCAGAGAAAACTAATATCAGGTCAAGAAAACCCCAGGAATAAATTGGACTCCTAAAGTTGAGTGGCATAGATTATTAAGGAAAATGCAATAAAACATTTCTACCTGCTTTAAGAATAAAACTAGTTCATCATGTATTCTCACCAGTCTTTAAGTCAGACCTCAGTGAAGAGTCAGGCCGCTCATCCCCACTGTCTGGAGAGATGAGACTGCTACCTGGCTGGCCTGGATTCACCCCACCCCTCCCCCCGCCACTTCCTGCAGGGCTGTCAGAGGCCCTGATACTCACACGACACAGGAAAAGCCTGGTCATCACACACTTCATGTGTCTGAGGGTGCTCAGTGGCTTTTGCAAATAAAGGAAAGAGTTATGTGTGTTCTTTAGTAATAAAATGTTATATTGTTTCAGGATAATAAAAAGTCGCTCACAACAGCGTAACTTCCAGCTTCTGGTAATCACTCATGATGAAGATTTTGTGGAGCTCCTAGGGCGTTCTGAGTATGTGGAGAAATTCTACAGGATTAAGAAGAACATTGAGCAGTGCTCAGAGATTGTGACATGCAGTGTTAGTTCCCTAGGATCTTATGTTCATTAAAAACATTCAAGACTTACATACTTTAGAAACACTGGTCCTCTGGCAACTGCTTATTTCTGGTATTGAGTCAATATGAAAATGTTCTTTCAAATGAGCCTTGTGTCTAGGGTTTTTAATGTCTGAGAGGTTCAAAAATCATTAAAAGTGTTTCACATGAAATTTGGACTGATTCTCTGAACTTCATTCCCCTCCAGGCAGCATCTCAACATCAGTGAAGATATGCTCAACTTCCCTGCTTCCCTCCCTAGCACTAATGAAGGAGTCTATGGGACCTGAAGCTTCTAACTAAACATTCACTTCTCAAAGCATTAGTGGGAAGCAGTTTCTCTACCTGGAAACTACAGTTTGGGCATTTAAAAAAAAAGTCAGTGTTAAGAGTTACCTCTAAATTTAGTTGGTTGGATGTGGTTTTAAAAACTGAGTTATCAATATTAATATCTGAAGATGAAAGAAATGATTATTAATATCTGGCTCTGTTCTTAACTTTATAAATCTAGGTAAGTGACCTCTCCCTCTTGGGACTTGTTTCTCCAATTTAAATTTGCAGTCATCAAATGGGGGCTTCAGAGTTTGAAAGGAATCTTAAGTAATTTAATTTCAGTGCCCACTCTATTCCCTCCCCACATATCCCTAACCAGATAGTCCTCCGAACCGGGGCTGTCTGGAGACAGGAAGTTCCCCACTGTGCACATTCATTTCTGGAAAGCTCTGCCCAAGAGCAAGGCCTCCTCCTCCCTGGGGGTCCTGACCTGCCTTCTTGCAGGGGTCTGTAACTTTCCCGTATGTCTGTGCTGTTTTTATCAGCTTGGCCTTACCGTGTGTCCCGACGGCTCTCCCAGTGTATAGCTCAGGTGTGGAAAGGAAGCAGGGCTTGCTCAAAGTCAAGACTTGCTCCTGATGGGGGATCCAAGTAGTCCTGGAAAAGCCCGCCTTATTTTCATTCCAGATGTTGTTTCTAATAAGAGCCCAAATCATACCCTTTCCCTGGAACTGCCAGCTGACAACTTGAAGCCTTTCACAGGCATGCCACAAGAGTGCTACCAAGTCACACACTTCTGAATTAGACTGTTAGAGTCTGTCAGGCACAAGGCACCGTCACTTTTGCCCATCTGCAAATCTAATGAGCACATGGTACAGACAGCCTTTTTCAACATGGGTCTAGAAAAGAAGTAAGCCCTAAGGTTTTAAGCTATCTGTGATAGGCTGAATAATGGCCTCTGAAGATACTGAGGTTCTAATCTCAGGAACCTGTGCATGTTACCTAATAATATGGCAAAAGGGACTTTGCAAATATGATTAAAATTAAGGATCTTGAGATGGGGTAATGAGCCTGGTGGGCTGAATGTAATTACGAGTATCCTAGTAAGGAGCGGGCAGAAGAGGAGAAGGTCCTGTACTGAGAGATGCAGAGACTGGAGTGATGCACTTTGAAGGTGGAGGAACAGCTGTAAACCAAGAAATATAGACAACCACAGAAGCTGAAAAAAAGGCAGATTCTTCTCTCAGAACCTCCAAAAGGAACCGTCCCTGTTGACACCTCATTTTCAGTCCAGTAAACTGATTTTTGGACTTTTGGCCTTCAGAGTTATGTAAGAGAATGATACTTATTTTAAGCTGCTAAATTTGTGCTAATTTGTTACAGCAGCAATAGGAACTAACACAGTATCCACTGTATATAACTAATTTCTGTGCATCTGATAGTGATTATATACTACCTTGAGAAAACTGAAAAAGGTTACTCACCATTTTCTGTGTTCTATGGTTCACACAAAGAACCTTGTTTGAGGAAGTCTGGTCCAGACCCTCACTTAATCCCTGGAGGAAAGGGCCAAGCAGTAGAACCACCACTCTAGCCACCTGCTTCTTGTCCACTGACTAAATTCAGTCATCCCAATGAGCTCTGAAAAACTAAAATTGAGAGAAATGCAAATCAAAACCACAATGAGGTACCATCTCACGCCAGTCAGAATGGCTGCTTTCAAAAAGTCTACAAACAATAAATGCTGGAGAGGGTGTGGAGAAAAGGGAACCCTCTTACACTGTTGGTGGGAATGCAAACTAGTACAGCCACTATGGAGAACAGTGTGGAGATGCCTTAAAAAACTGGAAATAGAACTGCCATACCAAAAAAAAGAGAATTGCCATACAACCCAGCAATCCCACTGCTGGGCATACACACTGAGGAAACCAGAATTGAAAGAGACACGTGTGCCCCAGTGTTCATCACAGCACTGTTTATAATAGAAAGGACATGGAAGCAACCTAGATGTCCATCAGCAGATAAATGGATAAGAAAGCTGTGGTACATAAACAACAGAATATTACTCAGCTATTAAAAAGAATGCATTTCAATCAGTTCTAATGAGGTGGATGAAACGAGCCTATTATACAGAGTGAAGTAAGTCAGGAAGAAAAACACCAATACAGTATATTAACGCACATATGTGGAATTTAGAAAGATGGTAACGATGACCCTGTATACGAGATAGCAAAAGAGACACAGTTGTAAAGGACAGACTTTTGGGCTCTGTGGGAGAAGGCAAGGGTGGGAGGATTTGAGAGAACAGCATTGAAACATGTATATTATCATATGTGAAATAGATCACCAGTCCAGGTTGGATGCATGAGACGGGGCGCTCAGGGCTGGTGCACTGGGATGACCCTGAGGGATGGGATGGGGAGGGAGGGGGGTTCGGGATGGGGAACACATGTCAGCCATGGCTGATTCATGTCAATGTATGGCAAAACCCACTACAATATTGTAATTAGCTCCAATTAAATAAATTAATTTAAAAAAACTAAAATCACTATATTAGCCAGGCTAGTATGATCAACAGCGGTACCATGAGGAAAGAACAGCAGACCAATCTTCACTCAGAGGACACATTCAAGAATTCACAAATTAAGAAAGAACAAATCAATTCCAATCATCTTTTAAAACAAACACATGTAATAACCAAGGAATCTTTATCCCAAGAATGTAAGAATATTTCAGAGGATAACTCTGTTCATTACCATATCATTACCTATCATTACCATAATAAAGCCAAAGGGGAAAAATTCTGCCAAGAATTTTTTGATAAATTATTTGACCATTATTTGATAAAATTCAACACCTCCTAGCTTTAGTAAACTCAAGTTTTACAAAGAATAAAAGAATATTTTCTTAGTGTTGTCTGAGTTAAAGTTTAATAGTCATCTTAATAGTAAAAGATGAAATACTTTCCATTAAATAAAAATACCAGTAACTTCCATCAACATATTTTTGAAAGCTCTAGGCATTGAAACAAATAACAAAAAGGCAAAATGAGATAAATACAGCCAATGAAACAAAGTTACTTACAAATTAAAACAGGACTCCCAATTTCAAGTCTGGTTTCTTCTGAGGATGTGACTTCCCTCACAGCCCTTTTGAGTAACTTTCTCTATTTCCCTCATGTCACTGGGCTTGGAGGTCAAGTAGGTGCCCTTTTTAAGCTTTTCACTGCTGCTTCTACATTGTTCCCCACCCCCTACTCCCTAAACACACACACACACACACACTTGAAGATGAATGGACATCACAATATGGAAGTCAAGAATATGAGCCAGACTCACAGGCTTAAATCCCAACACCACCACTTAACTAGCTTTAGGACCTTGGGCAAGTCATTTAGCCTCTTTTGCTCCTGTTTCCTTATCTGTAAAAGTAGCTAAAATGGTGCCTATCTTGTGGTGTTATGAGGATTAAGTGACTTAAAACTGCTTAGAAGAAAAAAAAAAAAAAACTGCTTAGAATTCCCTGGCAAGTAAGTAAGTGTGTATTTAAGAAAAGGGTCACCTCATCAGTTTACTCTTTCTTGTAGTTATCTTTAGGCCCCAGCCCTGTCACTCCCACTTAGTGGCAATTTCAGCTCTCAGTTGAGAATTATTCTCCAAATTAATTTCATGACCATTGGTGACTTCAGAATCCAAATGATGGTCACTTAGATCATACACTTAGATCTCTCGACTCCTTGCTGTTTCTGCCAGTGAGGAGATAGATACTCCATAGTTTTAGCCAGAGTCCAGTCCTTCAACAACAATAACCACAACTCTCCATATTTCCATTTTAAGCATCTACAATAACCTCTGGTATCTTTACAGTTCACTCCTGAGATCTCCAACTGCGGCAATTCTTTAAGCCCACCAAGATTTCTTTTTCTGCTATCCATAAAAACATTTATTAGCAAGCATGCACAAACAAAAGAGGTCACAAAACTGTTCATGAAGCTCAATGAAGTCCCAGCTGTCTGTCCTCGCCAGCGTTCTCAACAAGGACCGTGCCGGAAAGGTACACTGATGCCCACCAGGATTTCAACCCATTGATTCTACCACTTTTTCAGTTCATGGTCTTTAAATTCCATGGTCCATCCTAGTAATACTGTCTTGCATAAAAACTCAACTTTCTTTTCCCTCTTCCGTTCACAAGTTTTTCTCACAGTATCCAACCCTGGCAAAACAGAACTCTCCCTTCTCCCTGCACACTTCTTCTGCTGGTTCTCTGTTTCCCTGACCTTTTGGTATTGCCCTGCTTTAGAGCTCACCCTGCATCTGCATCTCTTTTCTTCTCATACTGACTTATTTGGTGACATCATCCAGTCCCACAGGTTTAAAATTATCTTAGTTTGAGCTCTCCCATAAGTAAAACCTGAAACAGTGATTCAAGCAAAAGATATGTGTAGGAGATCAGTCGTTCTGTCGTGTTCGACTCTGCAACCCCATGGACTGCAGCACGCCAGGTTTCCCTGTCCATCACCAACTCCCGGAGTTTGCTCAAACCGAAGTCCATTGAGTCGGTGATGCCATCCAACCATCTCATCCTTTGTCATCCCCTTCTCCTCCCTTCAATCTTTCCCAACATCAGGGTCTTTTCCAATGAGTCAGTTCTTCGCATCAGGTGGCCAAAGTACTGGAGCTTCAGGTTCAGCATCAGTCCTTCCAGTGAATATTCAGGACTGATTTCCTTTAAGATTGACTGG